TGGACTGCACTCTGTTCATCAGCTGAATGGCATTTAGGTTGTTTCCACTTTGAGCTATTAGGAATACTGTTGTCATAGGCACTCATGTAACAAGCGTGTGTTTGAACATGTTTTCATTTCTATTAGCTTCATGTCTAGGAGAGAAGTTGTTGTGTCATATGATCACTCTGCATGAATGAGGAATCACCAGACTGTTTCCCAAAGTGGCTGCACCGACCAGCAGTGTATGAAAGTTCCAGTTTCTCCACATCCACATCAACATTCGTTATCTGCCATCTTGAGTTTTCCTAACGACTAATGATCTTGAACATATTTTCCTATGCAATTAGCTATAGATACATATCTTCTCTGGAGAACTGTCTATTCCAGTCCTTTGCCTATTTTTCAATTGGGCTATTTTTTTCTATTGAGGTGTAAGTGCTCTTTGTATACCATAGACAGGAGCTCTTTATCAGATAAAGGATTCATGTCTTGTCTTTCCAGTCTTGACTTTTGTGGCATAGTTTTTTAATTTTGATGGGGTACTGTGGTCTCTTGGGTCTTACCCTATTAGTGTTATGGTAGTAGGGGCTCAAACCCAGGGCCTGTTCCACCACTCCCAGACCTCTTTGAATTTTGTTCTTCTGATGTCACACCTAAGAAACAGTGGCCTAATTCAAGGTCACGAATACATGTTTTCATGTTTTCTTCTTGGAGCTTTGCATTTTTTTTAGTTAATCGATATTCTGTAAGGTAAGGGTCTCTTGCATCTGGAAGTTCAGACTGCATTTTTTACATCACTAGCAAAAACACTGGAAAATGGCCCTTCGTTGCTCCATGGCCCACAAACCACTGAATTTCGCTGAAATGCACACAGGACTAGAGTTTCGAGTTATTCGAAAACTGCCCTTTAGGGAGTGCTATTTCTTCATTCGATCACATTGGCTGTTTGCCGAGTACCTCAGTGTCAGTGACTGAAGGCACGAGTTAGGCCTCACAGACTTATGTCTGTCATAGCAAGGAGAGACAGATCCTCGGCTTACTGCCTACAGCATGTGCTAGACCACCCAGGCGGCATAAAGCCAGGGCGGGGCAGATGGGGCTTGTGAACCGGTCAAAAGCAGCTAGGATACAGGTGGGGTCCATCCTATCAGGTTGATTGGATTCGGAAACCTCTGAAAGATTGAAGCTCCATGAGGGAATTGCCAGAGCAGATGAAGACAGCTCTGGCCTAATCAATGGCTCTGTCTCTTAAAGCAGTCGTAATATGGCCATACTGAACAATGGAGAAAAGGAGGAGGTGGGGGCCTCAATGTGGGAAGCAGTGCCTAGGGGCACGTCTTAGGGAGGGCTACATTTTGCCCCACCCTTTCCTGTTTCATTTTCTTTGTTTCCCATCTGCCTCGTGACACAGAAGCTCCTCCCCCACTGGCTCCTCCCCCATTATGTTCTGCCACAGTGGGGAGGCTAGACATTATTGCCTAAAACCCCCGAGCCAGAGTAAATGTGCCTCAAGGTAGTTCTAGTAGAGATTTGGGTTACAGAGACGGACTGTCCAGCCACAGTGGGGCTTCCTTTAAAGGTCACACTGGGGGCTAGAGAGATGGCTCTGCGGTTAAAAGCACTGACTGCTCTTGCAGAGGACCTGGGTTCAATTCCCAGCACCCACATGGCAGCTGACAATCATCCATAAGGCCAGTTCCAGGGAGTCCAACGCCCCCTTCTGACCTCCTTGGGCACTGCACACAGATGCTCTTACATACATGCAGGCATTACACTCATACACGAAAAGTAAAAATAATAAATGTCACGTTGGAGTTTGAACTTGCGGCGGGGGGGTTTAAGGGATTTGATTCCCAGGTTGAAGGCAGAGCCACTGCACAGAGCACCAGGCTGGCATTGATAGAATGTATGAAGAAACATGCATCTAATTAGGAAAGCAATGTAGCCATAAATCCTTAAAGTGGCTAACTGGCCCTAAATTGACAGCCTGGCCTTGCTCAAGTCTTATCAACTGCTTGTTCCCTGGACTGTGGGAGACTGTTCATGGAGCCAACCTGTCTCCATTAGTGCCTTGAGATAAATTGCCTGCCTGAGAAAATAATCTTGAGAGAGAGACGCTCAAGGACACCAGACCTTAGCACCAAGCAAATTCCTGCAGCTTCGTTCAACAGAGTCCCTATGTAAGTCCAACCACCCCTCCCTTTGACCAAGAAGCCCTTTGCTGTGCTCCCTGAATAAAGGAATACGTTCCTTGCCTGTGGCAGGTCTGGCTTTGACTCTTATTTCTAAACTATAAACTCCTTTTTCTGATCTAAATCTAACCAGCATGTGCTTGGGATTTGTGAGGAGCTCAAGGAGGCCAGTGACTAGAGCAGAGTGAGGTGGGGACAGGCCTCTTCCAAGACCAAGTCCCGTGGAATCTGATCCACCACTCTGTGGACTTGCAGGGGAACTGGTTGGAAAGCTACTGGGGGTTGGGGGGGGTGAGGGTGGAGCTGCAGGGACTGACCTGGTGTAACATTCCTGGCCTCATCCTTCTGCCAGGGGAGAATGGATTGTGGGAAGATAAGTATAGCAGGAAGGGTAAGGAAGGAGGCTTCCCGAATCACCTAGAGGCAAGGCAGGGCTCCAGTGGCAGCATGGAGGGCAGTAGGACGATTTGCTGGAGTCTACACAAAGCCAGTTAGAGGAGGTGACAGAGACAGGAGCTGGGGTGATGGCGATGACGTTGGCCTGAGTACCAGGAGATCTGTGTTACCAGTAGCACCATGGGGTCCACTGGGAAAGCAGACTTAGGGGTGCAGGGGAGGCAAGGGGTTCAGCTTGGAGGGTTGGGGCTAGAAATTCTTTTGGATTTCCAACTGAAAGCATTAGATAGGCAGCACTGATAGAAATGTGAAGCCAGCTGCAGCCAAATAGCCGGGATTAGAGGATGGATAGAGAACGGGCTGAGGGGCCCCTCCAGATAGGCGATCAGAGGCCAGAAGCGCACAGAACACTCAGAGCTGTCTGTTTTCCTAGTTCAACTGCTTGAAAGCATGGCCTTCCTCCCTCACCTTCTCCACTTCCCTTTCTTCTCTCACGTTCCTTCCTTTAAATGAGCACCACTGTGTACCAAGAACCAGAAACTGATGTTCTGCCCCCAACAAATTTTCTTTCTCTTACACAGAAGAGAAAGAAAATGCTCACTAATGAAGTAATGTAGACACACGGCAGCAACCACAGTTTGGCTTTACAGCTGTTTGCCAGTTACACCAAACTATGCCCTAGGCTTCTCGTGGTAATGCAGCACAGAAGATTCTGGAACCTACAGCTGTCCTTACCCCTTCCTCTCATATTTATTACTGTTACTTGGAGACACTTAGTCACAACACTAAATCATTTTTTTCTTTTTTATTGATGTGTACATATGTCTATCTGCCACGTGTGCAGGTGCCTGTAGAAGGCAGGCAAGGCTGTTGGATTCCCTGGAGCCGGAGTCACAGGCAGTTGTGAGCTGCCCAACATGGCTACAGGAACTGCATGCAGCAAGTGCTCTTAACTGGTGAGCCGTCTCTCTAGCTTTTTGTTTGGTTTTTGTTTTGAGACATGGCCTCACTATGGACCCTTCCAGCTTGGCCTTGAACTTGTAAACATCCTGCCTCAGCTTCCAGTTCCTGGGTGCTAAATCTATTCAGTTGCAGAAAAGAAAGTGTGGAGCATTAATACAGAATATCCCACTGGCCACTGTCTTCCACAGCCAAAGCCTTTGACACAAGCCCCAGCTTACCATCAGACTGATGAAGGCACACACTACGACGCCTCTTTTCACCTGGAGTCCAGAGTCACAGAACCGTCACCCCAAAGCTTTGGAAACCATTCTGATCCTCGGACGAGCCTACCTAGGTCAAAATTTCTGGTCTACAAACTGAAAATTTTCTTCTTGCTACATTGCTGAGGTTGACATGGCCACTGTTGGAGACCTCTGTTATGCAAAGTAGAAGTCCCTTCACGACCGGACAGCTCATGCAGCTCGGGATCATGTGCTGAGGGCTCCTTTCATAGCAGGGTGTCTTCCTGGCATCTTTCCTGTCTCTCCTTTTGAAGTGTCCGCCACAAATGCCATAACATAAACATGGCCTTTGGCTCTGAAAGGTACCATGCCTTCCTGTAATTTCTCCAGGCAGACAGCAGTCTGGCAGAAACCCACTTCCATATGTAAATAGAATGCCTCACAAAGCATCTAACAGTCAAAGCTTTTACCACTACCCCCATGGTATGAGTATCCTAGTTTTCTCTTAACAGACAGAGAACTGGGTTGCAGAAAGCTGTGACACAGAGAGCTGGGTCGCAGAGCTGCTGAATTACTGAGAGCAGAGACACTTAATAAAGCTGTAACACAGACTAAGCCAAGTCTTGAGTCCTGTGCCTTACTACCTGCAACCTAGCCTCTCCGGGGGGCAGCACTCCCTCGTGACCGACTTACGGACATCCTAGCTTTCGCTGTCTTCGTACTTCTTCCGCAAGGTCCAGGTGGCCAGTGGACCTCGCATCCTGAGGAAAAGTACACGGGTGGAAAAGGGACAGGATTTCGGCAGGACAACGCTCCTGCAGCAGAGAAGCTTCCAGAGACATGGGACCCGAGCCGCTGGGAAACGCGGGACCAGACCAGCTTTCCTCCAGACGCACGGCGGGGGAGCCTGCGGATCTGCCGTGCCATTCTGGGAGTGCGCCCAGAGAGTGTGCACGCCCTATAGCCACTACTGTGCTCCAAACTGAAGACTTTTTTTTTCCCTTATCTTTTTGAGATAGTCTCCCTGTAGTCCCAGCTGGCCTCCATATAACAGAGATCTGCCTGCCTATGCCTCCTGAGTATCTCTGACTAAAGGCATGTACCACCACCCCCAGCGCCAAACTGAAGAAAATTTTAAAGAAATTTTGATGTGAGAGAATCCTTTTTATAAATTATTTTAAAATCATAAAGTATTTCATAAAAGCATTAAATTTTATTCAGTGTGGTTCATTTTGGGGTAGAACTACATAAGGAAATAACTATAGCTTAATTTTCAAATAATTCACAATTTTGTGTGTTGATGTTGAGACAGAAAAGTCATGTGTGCCGGGCTGTCCTCCAACTTGATTTGCAGCTGAGGGTGACTTGAGCGCCTACAGATGCTCCCGCTTCCAAGTGCTGGGACTCCAGGCTTGTATCATCATGTCCAACGTGAGGATGTGGGTAATGCTTCCATCTTGGTCTATGCATGCTGGGATTAACAAAATATGGTCGATGGGGGGAGGCACTTGTAAACAACAAAAATCCAAGCTCACAGTTCTGGAGGCTTCAAAGTGGAAGATCAAGATGTCTGCTGAGGGATGAGGAGAGCAGCATCTACTGAAGGCTAAGAACACCAGCGTCCACTGAAGGCTGAGGACACTGGTGTCTACTGAGGGCTGCCTCCCCAGACAGCAGGTCTCGTAGCCCAGCATAGAAGGGGCTATGGTCTCTCTCCATTTTCATAAAGGCATTAATCCTACTCCTGAGGGCTCTGCCCCCTCCATCTAACCACCTCCCAAGGCCTCCTCTCCCTCACTCTATCCCCTTTGTGGTGAAGGATTCAGCTACCATCACCTCTGAGTGAGGCTTTTCAGACATAACTATTCAGACCATTGCCCTTTCCTGTCATGAGGGATTCAAAATGTACAGTGACAACCTGACTTCCTGGATGTACTTCGCAATCTGCTCACCCCATCTTAAATATCCTCATGTTTAAACTACCTTTGTTACCTGCAAACCCAATTTCGTTCCTCTTAAAGTTCCCACTATGGCTGAATGTCTCAGTAGTTAAGAGAACTTGCTGCTCTTCCAGAGGACTGGAGTTCCCAGCACCCACATCAGGTGGCTCACAACTGCAACTGCCAGTAACTCCAGCTTTAGGGGATCTGATCCCTCTTCTGGCCTCTGTAAGCAGCCCCCCCCATTACATATACACAGAGACACACACATAAGCATAAATAAATCTTAAAAATATTCCTGCTTACTAATGAATTGTTTATTCTTGATGTCTTAGGCCAACTTTAACTATGAGACCACATCCTAACCAGCTGCATCTGCTGGGAAGTGAGCAGCCCTGGTGAACCAGCAGCCTGTGAGGCAAGCAGCCCTGGTGAACCGGCAGCCTGTGAGGTGAGCAGCCCTGGTGAACTGGCAGCCTTATAGCACAAGACAATGGGGAGACCAGTACTGGAGAGTTTTATTAGTGAAAAAAAAAAAAAACCACAACAAACTTGTTTATTAACAAAATTCGGACAATGATAATTGTACAATTCCTTCTATGCAAAAGTAACTTGTTAAATGACTACCATCTTTCTAGACATGGGTCAGGAGACACACTTTAAAACCTTTCTGATAAATATATTGCGGCACTGCATCCAGCCTGGATAGCCCTCTTCAACAAAGCATATGCAGGGGCCTGTGAAAAACAAAAAGCTGTGATGTAACTCAGTGGTACAGTGGTTATCTAGCATGCACAGAGCTCTGAGTTTGACCCCCAATACCCCAGAGGGAACACAAACTAAGGGGGCAGGAGGTATGCTCAGTGGTAGAGTGCTTGCCTAGCAAGGCCTTGGATTCCACCTCCAGCACTTAAATAAATCACAACCAAAGAAACAGGTTGCACATCCATTTTTCGATATAAGACTCGGGGCTTACTGGTAGGGGAGGGTTTGGGCTCCTCTCAATGAGAAACAAGATCTGAGAAATAATTTGAGTTAGAACAAAAGCTATTCAGCTGTGGCTGCTGAAACCCTGGATCTCACAGGAAAGAGGCTCCTGAGGAAAGGTAAGGGTAGGGCAGGTCACAGGAGCCCCATCTTAGAGCAGTGCTTTGCCTGTGTGCTGCCATGGGACTGGCTTCCTGCCCTTTGACCTTCACTTTAAAATGTCTCTTCCTGGGAACAAGAACCCTGCCACTCAACCTTGGACACAAAGCACCACAGGTAGCAGTCGGTCCCTACCAACTCTGCGCCGTGGTCCAGGCCTGTGTCATGGTGCTCAAGTTCATCATCCCGGAATTTCTTGATGACCTGGGCAAAGATAAGGGACCAAGTAGCAGTGAGTCAGCACCCTCCAGTCGCTTGCAGGTCCATCTTATTCTGAAAGCCAAAGTTCTATGTTATAGTCTAAGGCTGAGGTAGGCATGTTTTTCCTATGATGGGCCAGAGCTCCTCACTCTGCTATTCAGGTAGAGAGAGCAGACCTGGACATGTAAACCATGGGTATGCCTGTGTTCTAATAAAACTTTATTTACAAAACAGGTTTGGTCACAGACTGGAGTTTGCCACCTTCTGATTTGGGCTTTAATTCCAGCACAGATCTCTCTGAGTTTGAGGCCAGCCAGGTCTACAGAGTGAGTTCCATGCTAGCCAAGGTTACATAGTGAGATTGTGTCTCAAAAAATAAAATAAAGCAGTTGTGACTAAATGTGGTGGCGCACACCTATTATCCTAGCATTTGGGAGGCAGAGGCAGGAGGATTGTGAGTTCAAGGCCAGTCTGGACAACAGGGAAGGACTTTGTCTCAAAAATAAATAAACCATACACAGGAAAATAAAAATTTCCTTAGAGCAGGTACTGTATACACCTACAGTCCCAGTTACTGGGAGTGGAGTGATAGGGTTGATGCAGGAGGATCATCTGCATCCATTAATGTAAAGCTAGCCTGGGCTAAAAAAGCCCCCTTATTATCTGCAGAAAATCACCAAAGGCTCTCTAGTACTTCAGTCATTCAATCTAAAGGGCTCACTGGCATTTTCCCAGAGTCATGATATGCGCAGGACACAAGGACACGAGGTCTGGATTCAGGAGACATTAGCTGATGTCACACTTCCAAGCAGCTTCACCTAGTGTCCTCATCTCTTTTCTTACCAACTGCCCACTGCCCTTTCCCACTCCAATGGAGCACCGTCAGTCACCTGAAGCAGCTCCTCATACTTCCCAGGATCCTCTTCCATCAGCGTGCGGATCTGGTTGTTGTAGTGATGAGCGATGGACTCTTCCACAGCCACTGTGCAGGCCATAGCGCCCTCCTTCCCCAGCAAGGCGGTTCCCACCCCTGCAATGGTCAGACACCCTGGGTCAAGCACTGGTAGGTCAGGGACATCATGTGAGGCCTCCTGATATTTGCGGCTAGTCATATTCTAGGGTGGGGCTATGCTGTGCATCATGGAATATTGAAAAGCACTGTTGACTTCTACCTACTAGATGCCAGTAGTGCCTGGTGTGATCACTGAACGTGTCTTCAGATATTGCCAAGGGTTCGATGAGGGCAGAGTCACCCAGGCTGAGAAGCAGTTGGAGTTGGTACTAGACCCCCAGTAGCAAAGTTCTTTTTTCAATGTGTTTTTCTGGGTTTTGTTGTTTTTGTTGCCTGGCCTGTTGGATTTGGTTTTGTGAGACAGGATCTCACTTCAGATGAAGTTCAGCTGTCAGCCCAGACTGAATGCTCCATCCTCCTGCATCCGCCTCCCAAGCACTGAGATTACAGGCATGCGCCCTCACACTGGCTCAGTGAGCTTTGAGCCTCCTGCTCTTCTAAAACATTTACTCTCCTCTTTAAAAGCGAGCTGATCGCAGGCTTAGAAGCTGTCAGGAAACAGTATCTGGCTGCAATTGAATTATACTAGCTTTTCCCCTGTAATATTTATTGCACTTTATAAAAGTGCTGATTCTATCATAAAGAAATTTAGGCAAAAAATAAAATTCAGTCAACTTCAATTTAACTTTAGGAAAATGCTAAGTGAATAAAAAAGGGTTGGATGAGGGCATGGGAGTGGTACCCGAGTGACCCGTCTCTCAGATCCCTGAGCTTGCATGGTGGCTTCTGGACAGATACGTACCCAGTGCAAAGCCCGCCACGTTCCACAGGGGCATCAGAACTGTTGGCCGGACCCTGAGCGCTACCATCAATTCGTTGAACTTTTTCAAATGGTCCTTCTCTTGATCCCACATTTTCTGAAAGAAAGATGAAAGTAGAAAGAGGCCAGTGTTCCAGAGGTCGCCTGCTATGCTGAGGGGCATGACATGCCCTGCCTGGGCATTCACGAGACAAAAAGGAAGCTCTTAATGCTGAGAATTGTGCTCTCCCATCCCCTTAAATATCCGTGAAAAAAGCAAAACATGAGACAGAAGAATCTCTGTGACAGACAGAAGAACCTCAGTGACAGCCAAGAGTCCCACTGCCACACCCCAGAGCCTCACAAGTCTACTCAAGACCTGGCTCCTGGTGCATGCAGGCAAGAAGTAAACCGGGTTCAGAGCTGGGCAGAGAAATATCAGCCACAGCATAATTTCCTTCAAAGGAGGACAGAGGGATAACAGTAGCCAGCTGACAGTGTGTCCTGAGTACCAGCTACCCAAGTGCCTGCAGCAGGCAACTGCTCCATCCATGTGACCACCTTGTGAACAACAGGCTTTATCATACTGAGGACTCAGCAGTCCAATCAACCCGCACCGAGAGCCCTCTGAAACCCCAGGTTCTGAAACCACCAGCTCAATCAACCACAGGTTGAAAATAACAGAAAAAAACTTGCCTGTGCTGACAACATCCAGACTTCTTGTCAGTAAACAGAACAGCAGATGCTTGGGTTGCGTTTGCCTTGCAGTGGAGGCTCTAAATAATCTAGAGATCCATTAAAGCATAGCATCCCCTTGGGGGCTTCATGCTAACACTACACCATCTCATACAAGGGACAAACTCTGGGGATTGTGGGTCTGTGGAAGGTTCTGGAACCAAGCCCTATGGATCTGGAGACACGCCCTAACTTGTTTGTGGTATTAGTCTCTTCACATGAGCTGTTTCTTACTTGCCCAGAGCTGGGGCTTTGCGGACAGGGAAGTGAAGACCCAGAGGTCACTGACTTTTTCAAGGTCACACAGGCAGGAGGTTAGAGAAGGCCGGAAAGGAAACCCAGATCTTTGTGACTACAAAGTCCAGGTCCTCTCTCTGGCACTGTCATAGGGCAAGCCGACAATAACCTCCTGGCACATGTATTCCCCTAATAAAGTCATTCTCAGCCTTTGCAGGATCATCAGCTTCTGCCATAAAATGTTAACAAGATACTGTGTCTTCCTTCTTTTTGAGAGAGTCTCACTGTGTAGTCCTAGCTAGCCGGGAACTCACAGAGATCTGCCTGCCTCTGCCTTCCGGGTATTGGAAATAAAGGAAGGCATGCCCCATCATGCTGGGCCACACGCAGTTTCTATCTGTGCTTTTATGTAAACAGAGCCATATGCTCTTTGCTCTCCCTAAGAACCAATGTTCCGCGCTGCCTTGTGAGCAACAGCACCTCCCTTTGGAACACACAGCCAAATGGGAAGACCGCAGGCCTTCAGATCCATTGGGGCAGGAGACCAGAGTTAGGATGTGCCCACCTGAATGACAGGCCCCATGTTGGTCCGACCCAGCACCACCATCTGCCCTGCATAGATGCGGTTTGCTCCATATTCACCGGCGTGATCCACCCGGATTATTCGATCCACAGCTGCCCGGTTGATATTGTTTAAGGTCATTCTTGAACTGCAAAATCTGATGCCAATTTCTCTTCCATGAGCTGCAATGCAAGTGAGTACGCCTTCATTACCAGAGGGAATGTCGAGATTGTCCTTTTAAAAAGTTATATTTACTTATTGTGTGTTTGCATATATGAAAGTGCATGTGTGCCATGGTGTATGTGTGGAAGCCAGAGGACAGTGTGCAGGAGGCAGTTCTCTCCCTCCACCATGCAGGTCCCAGGGATTGAACTCTGGCCCTCACGTGTGGCAGCAAGCACCTTTACCCATCTAACTGGCCCTTGACTGGCCTTTTGCAGACAGAATAAAGGGGTGCTTTAGAACAAAGACCATGGTGCTTAAAGGTGTACTTGTTTCTGCAATGTCCATACACTGAAGATTTCACCTGAAGATAACAGATTTCTGGGCTGGAGATGTTTCAGCGTTTAAGAACGCTGGCTGCTCTTGAGGACCTGAGTTCAATTCCCAGCACTCAACATAGAACTAACAACCATCTGTAACTCCAGTTCTAAGGGGATCTGACACCCTCTATTAATCTCCGCAGGCACTGCATGACATGGGTGCATGTACATACATGCAGACAATACATTCATACACAAAATTAAAAAATAATTAAAAAAAAATCTAGGTTTCTGGCTGGAGATATAGAAATGCTGAGGCTGTCTTCTTGCCAGGCAGTCAGCATGGCATTCTTCAAGAAGGACTCTCCCCTCCCTGGCTGTACAGCAAAAGCCTCGGAAGGGTTCCAAAAATAAACCATGACACTCTTCCCCAGTGTATCTCTGGGAAGAAGACCATGCTGATAGTCTTTTTAAAAATATTATTTTATGTGTCTGAGTGTTTTGTTAGCGTGTACGTAAGTGCATCCATGCATGCAAATGCCCGCAGAAGCCAGAAGGCGGCACTGGATCCCCTGGAACTGGAGTTACGGTTGTTAGCGCCACGTGGGTGCTGGAAATCAAACTCAGGTTGGCTGCAAGAACCATCGCTGCAGTCAAGGCACCGCACTGCACTGACCCCACTGTTCAGACAGCCCGCGAGCACCTTGGCAGAAGCCTATGCCCTTCCCGTCAATCACTTCAACGGTCACCACAAGCTCCACCCCAGGGTTACGTCACGCAGTCGCACTCTGTTACACGCTCAGACGTAGCTTAACGTCTCCTTGACCTCCATGACCTCATCCTCAAACAAAACTTTTCCTCCAGCGGAGTCCGGTACACGTCTGTGAGCGGCGCGTACCTGAGAAGGGCCGCCAGGCGCCACTGCGCAGGCGCCACAGGGAGGCAGCCGCCGCCCTGGCGCCGCTCATCGCCGTATACCGAGCAGCCGTCCTCTAGCGCGGCCGGCCAATCGTGCTTCCGGCGCAGGCCGATGACGCAACAGACGCTGCGGGGGCTCCAGCGGAAACGCCCCCAGGCGCGGGCTTTCATTCGATTGGTTGGCGAGGACAAACGGCCTTACCTTGTTGGCTGTGCTCTCTGTCAGTCATGGCGAGGGCTGAGGATGTTGGGCTGCTCTGGAGAGGGACGGTACCGCCTAGGTGCCGGGGAAAGACAAGCTTTTGCGCATTACCTAGAGGAAGAGTTTTCTTCATTTGCATCCCGGCTCCACCAAAGCGATGGAAATTACATACTAAAATTCACCGGAGTCTCCTGGAGGCCCTGACAGCCCGTTTTACATGATTTCCTAGTACTTTTCTCAGTGTTTATATATAGTTTCTACAGAGACTACTTTGTACTTTACAGTATCATTCCTGGCCTTATTGGTGCGTGGTGGTGGTGGTGGTGGTGTGTGTGTGTGTGTGTGTAGGAAAATTTAGCAACGTTTATCAAACTTTTAAGAGTGCATATTCAATAATATGGCAGTCGTATTTCTAGAAGTTTACCCAATAGAAATTATTTTTCTAATAAGAAATGTGAATGAGGGGAAAATAATAAAAGTTGCAGGGGCCGGTCAAGTGCTGTACTGCTCTTGCTGAGGATTTGGGTTTGATTCGCAGCACCAATGTGGAGCTGCTCACAACTGTCTGTAACCAACTCCAGGTCCAGGAAGCTGACGTCCTCTTTTGTCCTTCGAGGGCACAGGCACATGGAAATTATTTTTCTAATAAGAAATGTGAATGAGGGGAAAATAATAAAAGTTGCAGGGGCCGGTCAAGTGCTGTACTGCTCTTGCTGAGGATTTGGGTTTGATTCGCAGCACCAATGTGGAGCTGCTCACAACTGTCTGTAACCAACTCCAGGTCCAGGAAGCTGACGTCCTCTTTTGTCCTTCGAGGGCACAGGCACATGCACACACACACACTTACTTTTTTTTTTTTTTTTTTTTTTTTTTTTTTTTTTTTTTTTTTTTTTTTTAACAAAAGAGGACGATAAATCTTTCACTGTGATATATCAAAATAA